TGCATATCTTCTCATTTAATCCTTTAAAATATCCTGTAAAATATTTTTCTTTTTACTGAGATATTTTGGGAGTGGCATGCATTTCCTAAACAACATGCCTCTGGGAACTCTGAACTTTGAGAAATGATAGATATAGAAAGGCTTCAGGTCTTTTGTTGATAGGGTCACTATGAATCATGCTCGACTTGATGGCAATCAACAACAACAGCTGGTGGCTTATAGTAGTAAGAAATTGTGCTGCCGTGGCAAAGGGACAAGATGCTTTGCAGCTGCTCTGCTCTAGACTCCTGTGGTGCACAGTCCCCCCACCACAATAATAATTATCCTGCCAGATCTGTTGAGTTTTTGTGAGTTTTGTTCTTCATTTTTCAACTTCGTGCATATTACCTTTATCCTCCTAAGTAAATGTTCATATTGATACAAATTTCTTTATAGGTTTCTAATATAGGTTCCTTTTTCATGCTACTCAGTTTTTATATATGTACCTTATAAAATTTCCAAGTTTAGGAAGAATTCCAAACATTGTAGGAAGCAGCATAAATTGATGTAGTCAATGTGGACACATTAGAAATGAAATTGCCATTGTCATGTCTTGAAATCTAAAGAGAAATGCTAAAAAGTATGTATCAAGCTCTATTTCTCAAAATTGCTTCCAGCTGCCTGCTTCTTAGTATAGGAATATTTATTAAAAGTGGCAGGTTAAAAATTGGATTCCTAAGGCAAAATTTGACTGATTGTATAATTTTGTTAAAGAGCAGAAGATATCTGAGATTTTTGCCATTTTAGTGGTTTCTTTTGGGGGAGCTAGTGTGAGGAGGGAGAGATAATGATACATATTTCTTGGTGAGAAAAACAAACCAGTTTAGACAATTTCAGTGAGCTGTGGAAAATTTCCTTAGGTAATGAATGGAGGAAAATTAAATCTTCCATATGAGTTCCAAATAGTACGTATAAGTATCTGAAAATGTGGAAGGCATTACTTAAGGAATAGTTAAGATATTTAAAGACAATGATGGATTTAACTAATCACATAACTCAGTTGTAGGTGAAGCTTGGGGCAAAGCAGTGTCATGAAAACAGTCAAATATGGTTTGCTTGGAGTTTAGAAATTTAAATCTTAATTAGATTAATTGAAGAATATGGGAGAGATTTAAAGAATTATTAAGTTGAAATGCTGTAGGCATATTAAAATTAGAGAAAACCATATGTTAATTTTGACAAGAAGTTGATGAGAAAGGAAGAGAAATACCACGAAAGGAGAAGCACTGGCATCTTTAATGAGACTTGAGCTATCTTTGATGGCTTACTTAAAATGGAGTAATAGAAGAAATGAGAAACTGTATGTTGAAGATAGATTTGAAAAACATTTCTTAAGATATTTAGTAAAGTTAAAGTGGTAAGTGAAAGCTTATACAAAAATAAATACTGGAAATCAGTCTTTTGAAATTAATTCATTTAAGCCTCTGGGTCTTGAAGGAAGAATACAGAAGTTAAAACCTTTGTGTAGAATTGTTGGGAATATCAGTAGAAGTCATACTTTATAATCATCCTTAACTAGAAAGATTAAAGTCCAAACTAATCAGAGTTCATTACATGTCAAGGTAGTTGTTGACCTTTCACCAACTTGCCTCCTGGGAGCATCCTGGTCACTCTTCCTCTAAGACAGATTTGTTTACTCTTTTGACAGTCCATGTGTTTCAAGAAGAGGGAACAGGATATTGGGGCACAGGGCCATGAGTATCTCTCTGAAAGGACCAGAGGGAGTACTGCTCCAGAGTAGAAAAGAGTCCATAGCTCAGTGCTATGTTGCCTGTAGAGTCAAACCAAATCGTAAGAGGTTTGTTTATTTGTTGCTGACTCACAGACTCACAGACTCACAGACTCACAGATGGTACCAACAGTGGGGTTTATTAGGGAAGAAAGTTGGAGAGTAGGGAAGGCAAAGAATATAACTCAATGGAAATTCAAACCCAACAGTCCGAAGGCACATTTCTTCAAGAAGCCTAGGATCCAATTTCAGTTTCATCAGTCAAATCCAAATCATCAGCAAGGTTTCCCCCAGAGTAGTTATAACCAAATGATAGAGGATAGAAACATTGATGCCTTTGAACTGTGCTGGGAAGAATTTTGAACATACCATGAACTGCCAAAAGGTCTGTCCTAAGAGGGTGAAACGAGGTTGCTCCTTGGAAGCAAGGATTTAGAAGCTCTGTTTGACATGCTTTAGGCATTTTTCCAGGAGGGAACATTCTTGAAGAAGGACATCATGTATGGAAAGGGAACATCACTCAGTGAAAGACCTCAGACAAGATGGATTGACACAGTAACTGAGGTCGTGAGGGTGGGTGTGTTAGAGACGGGGAGAGTGGTGCAGGATAAAGCACAGTTTAGCCCTATTGTGCACAGGGTTGCCGTGAGCTCCAGTAGTCTTGATGGAACGTCAGCAATGAAGTAGATGTTGTAATCATAATCAGTTAAATGACTGTGAAATTCGTTACCTGAGCTGCATTAAATTTTCCTTAAGCTTCTTGTGGATTTAAAATGTTAATAGCTCTGTAAGTATAAATTGATCATTGGACTGAAAGTGTATAATTAGATGCAACTCTTCTGTACTCTTAAGTACATAAGAAAAAATATAATTAGATAGAACTTTTATGCATTGAAAATCGTAATTACAATAGTAGTGTTCTTAATAATACAAACAAAACCAAGCCATTGGTGCCCAAATAGCTTTTTTAGATGTTTACATGTAATAAAGCAGATGCACAAGTGCTTTTCATCATAATCTGACCATTATCTAAAACTATAATAAATGAACTTGTCACAATCTCTATTTTTAATTAGTTAATTGAGAGTAGGTTTTGCTGTTATTTTTTAAACCACTATGCATTCATTATTACCAACCATCCATTTTTCTACATGAAATTTTCCTTTTCATATATTCTGATTCCACTAATGTAACAGGTGTAACTAATGTATATCTCCCTGCAGCTTCTGTAACTTCTTGTTTTCTATCTCCCTTCTTACTGGTCCTTGGAGACAGAATTAAAAATTTAGGCAAGCTAGCAGTTTGAAATTTTGCAGGTTAGGTCTCTGTGCAGTTGGCATTATCTTTTTGCATATAAACTTAATTTCTACACCGAGGATCCTAACATTATACACACACACACAACAACTGCCCCTTGATATTTTTTTTTTCCTTGGAAATATGACTAGACATTTAATACAAGTTTGAAGCTTTTCTCACCTTATTTTAAGCATTATGTTATAAATATGTAAGAATATAAAATCTATAATTGGAAGATTTTAAATGTCAATAATAGAAAAGAAAAATAATAAATAGTAATATATAGAAGTGATATTTGAGATTTATGAATCTTTTCTATTTTTATATTTATCTTTCAAACAACTTGATTAGATAGGTACTATTAATATTCTCATTTTACATAAACTACTGTGAGAACTAAAGCATAGGGATTATGTAACTCCTTATACCACTTATAAGCAATTAGAGCTTGAATTCAAATTCCTTTCCTTAACTACTATACCAAAAACTACTTCTACTCATTCTTTCTGACCATGTGATAGAAGTACCCAAAATTAGTTAACCAGGTAATGGGAATGGTATTTATTGACTCTTAATTTGGGGAAAATAATGTAAATCCTTCTCAAAACTGAGTTACTTCTTGTTACTCTCTAAGCAAGGCAAGTTGCTAGCCTATGACTTCTACCCCTGTTCATCTCAGGTGATTCATTCAGTATTCACTTAGCATATGCGATGAACAGGTTTGGATTTTTCCGTATCTTTAATGTTGTTACGTACCTTCGAGTCAACTATGACTCATAGTGACCCTATACACAGGAGTTCTGAACCCTGCTTGTTCTGAGCCAGTCTCACTGTCTCTGACACACCTACCCTCATTACCCCAGTTATTGTGTCAATCCATCTAATCTGGAGTCTTCCTCTCTTACTCTGTCCCTCAACCGTTCCAAACATGATATCCTTCTCCAAAGACTGTTCCCTCCTGGCTACATACCTAAAGTATGTGAAGCAGAGTCTCAAAAACCGTGCCTCGAAGAAGCAGCCTTGTTTCACCCTCTCTAGGACAGACCTGTTAGTACTCTTGGCATTCCATGATATGTTCAGTACTCTTCTCCAGTACCATAACTCAAAGGCATCAATTCTTCTGTCATCCTTAATCATTATTCAGCTCTCTGATGATGCATAGCAAGTAACTGTCAAGACCATGACCTGGATCAGGAGCACCTTAGTCTATAGACTGATATCCTTGCTCTTCAGCACTCTGGAACCCTCCCTGACAGCCTATTTCCCTTCTACAATTAGTCTTTTGATTTCCTAATTGCTGGTGCCAAGAGTGTTGATTGTGGAATAGGGAAATATTTTTATTTGTAGGATATTAGGTCCTGATCAGGATAGCCTATTAAGTAATAGTCTGTTTTTCAGTGAATTGTATACATTACAATGCACTATATAATGTATAGACATTCAAATATACTGTGAGGGAAAATATTGAGTCACAATATTTCAGTCAGTTTGCTTTCCAAATCGTATATATGATTATATATATATAATCATATATATATATTCTCCTAAATATTTGTAGTTGAGGATAAGAGCTATTTAAAAGCATCTATTTTATATATTTAGCTGAATGAAAGCTTTATCATTTTCCATGTAGCAGTTTATGTAATTTCTAGTGCTTCACCATTATCAGGATGGAACAGAGAATTTAAAAGCTGTATTTGTCAATACTTATCTTATGCATGCTTAAAATCGTTCAGAATTTTTGAGCGGTCAGTAAATAAATCTTACTATTCTATTTTTATGTGATTTTTTTGGGGGGGGGTGTTTCTTAATAGCCCATGGGCAGTACATAAACTCGTTTTTAGACACTGTGTTTGCCTACCAAAGTTAAATTGTTAATATAAAGCAAATGGATGTTTACTTATGTGTTTTTGTTTTATATATTTTTACTCAGAAAAAAGAACCTTCTAAATCCAGTGTCAAGAAGAAAGTGACCAAAGTTGCAGAAGCCAAAAAAGTAATGAAGAGAAATTTTAAAGTGAATAAGAAGATAACATTTACTGATGAAGGGGAGGTAAGATTCTGTAAATACCACATCTTTAAGGTACATTGGTTTTCCTCCTGACATATAAGAGGATTATTTCATTTTAATCAGTATTGTAATAATGATCAATGGAAATGTGTTTCTAAAACATAGCAGGCATTCCCTTTCTCTGTTTCTGTAGGCAGTTCATCAGCTTTAAGTGTGTGGCCAGAGGTGCCTTCACGGCAGCAATGCCAGATACTTCTTGGTGATAACGTGGAGTCTGTTTTGAACTTTCTAAATTCTTATTTATAAAAATAAAATTTTGTCACACTTGTGAGGTATTTATTAGTATTTTCTCACGTTTCTATTAACGTGTTCTATAGAACAATAGAAATCTTAAATATAGGTACAAGAACGTTAATACAAGTACTTGCCACTGCCTTTGAGCTTGACTCTGGCTTTTGTAGTTCTTCAGTTTTAGATGGCTTATTTGGTGGTTTCTAGCTATTATCAGATTGGCTCTAGGGAGGATATTCTGTGCTTTAAGGTAGTTTTAAGAACCATGATACCTCATATTAATCTGATAATTACCTTGGTACCGATGTATATTAGTAACCATAATTTCCCCTCATGAAAGATCACAATGTATTGGATGCAGTAGCATCTTTTTTAAAAAATGAGGACATATTCCCAGAAGGCATGTGACTCCTGTAAGGAATCATTTCTGCTTAACAGTCATAGCAGAATCTTTGCACTATCATCCTTATTCTTGACAGCCTATGGGTGCCCTGCACCATATGGACATAATCCCCAGTATCTGCCTTCCATCATAACCTTATTCCCCTTTGCACACCTGTTTTCCCTCACAGATAGCACTTTGTCTTTGACTCTGCATTTCTTGTACTATGGTGTAATCTACAGGAGAAAAGTGTTTTGTTGACTTTCTTATTGTATTCAGAATATCAAGGACAGTGCCTTGTTTTTTTATAGACCTTTAGAAAATGTTTATTAAGTCAGTGAATGAATCACCGTTTAATACTCCAGTAAGTAGCAGATCTTTTCATGTTGGTTATAATCATCGTATCAGATACTTCATCATCATTAATGGTAAATGCTGCCTTATGAAAGAATGTGTTTCTTTTTAGTTTTGAAGTAAAATTTTGATGTTGTTCTGGGCAAAATCTGAGAATTCCATTAATATAGAGTCTTAAGAGTATACTAATTAGATGAGAACTAAAAATTCAAAGATGATGTTGGAAGTGGCAGAGGGAAGCTTTAAAATTGATTAACAGTCTTTATGAAACTACCCAGAAGAGGTCAGCACCTGCAGTGTAGGAGGATATAGAATGAAGTTACATTACATCAGATACTCCCTGTAAAGTAAAATTAGAGCTTTTAACATAATGAGGTTCTTTAGTGTGCTATGTTTAATTGCATAGATTATTACCAATTAGCTCAAAGTTGAGTATAAATCCTTAAATATAAAATGCTTCAATGTACAGTATCCTTTTTTTTTTGCTGATAGATGTTGTATGTGGCTGTATGCCCTCCTGAAATTTCTAATTTAGGAACGGAAAATTCTCTTCTCCCTAGTTCAGAAAATGTAAGCATTCTTTACTCTGTGAAGAAAATGGAGACCAGAAGTGAGAGTAGTGGATAGTAGTGTTATTACAATAAGTGTTCCCTCTCACTGCTTCTTTAATCCCCAAGAGTACTGGCACTTGTGATTATTTTGCACCTGATCATGAATTGCCAGTGTAAGCATTGCATAGGCATCATTGTGTCTTAAAGAATGGCTCTTGGGCCGAGAGAGAAGGCGAGAGAGAGAGAGAGAAATACTTTGATGCATAGCTACAGATTTTCTTTTGCCTGCAGGATATATTAGCAGTCATTCAAAATACCAGGAGCTGCTTAACTTCTTCTGGCAACTAGTTATTAGATAAAAGAAGAGACTTTTACCCTCCTCTGAATTGTCTTACATTTTAAAAGGCTTAAAGGTTGCTCAGTGTAAAGAAAAAATTTTTTTTAAAAATATAGGTGTCTAGAGATGGAATCATTTATTTGAGATTATGCAGCAACCTAGTGAAAAAGCCACAACATTAAGCTGGGCTGTCCTGTTTTCTCTATCAGCTTGTTCCTTACCATAAACTGTGGATGTCAGTGACTGCGGATTTGAGCAGGCCTGTGAAACCCAAACTGGTTTTCTCTTTTACACTGAGTGATATGAGTCCTAAGGTGCCTCATTAATCCATCAGCTTTGAGAATGTAATACATACCAGGCATCGCCTTTGTTTCTGAGAATACATAAACAAGACAGACGACTGGCTGCATGGAGCTTAAGTCTAGTGAGAGAAAGGGGACAGGAAAACAGCAAAGACAAAACAAGCAGTAAAGATTCATCTACACAGGTGTGGTGGTAGCATGGATAGATGTAAGTCAGCCTGGGCTGCTGCTGTTGTGGTAATTCTGACTGTGCTGTGTGGTTAGAATCTATAAAAAAGAAGACCACATGTCCTATTTGAAACATGGCATATCTATAATACAACTCTCTTGTCCTCCAAATTCTTCCGTGGAATTTTCCTAATAGTCTTCTCTTTGGATTGTGGCCACAGTACTTATCCCTAACCAGACAATCTTTGCTGTAGCTTGTTCACTTTAATCATACTTTTTAATAAAGCCTTACGGAAGCTTAAGAAATAGAGATTTTAAGGCAGAAGATATGGACACGCCTATGTCCAGCGGAGGTGGTTTTGTTGGCTGCTGTCTGTCTGCTACCTCATACTTACTGTGTTTTCTGTCCACAGTTGGTTCAGCAGTGGCCACCAATGCAGAAATCTGTTGCAAATAACAATGAGGAAGAGAATGATACTGGTGGTATCAACTTGGATAAAGCAAAGGAAAGACTTCAGGAGGAGGACAAATTTGACAAAGAAGAATATAGAAAGAAAATTAAGGCAAAACATCGGGTAAGTGGTCCATCTTGAATTAATACTGAGTAAAAATGTAATATTTCTCTGGTTGTGCAATCCCCTCTTTATACAGAATGTAAATGATTTCATGTGTTTTTATTATATCAAAACATTTAGATACGGTTTTCTGTTTCCCCTGGCAAAGAGATTCCAAATAACAAAACTTGGAGTAAGTCTTGGAACTTTGAAGTTTAATAACTTTTCCTCAAAATATTTTTTATTAGAGTGCTTTTTGAAGGCAAGGATGATGAGACTTTGCCTCATATACTTTAGGCATGTTGCTAGAAGGTGCTATACCTTGGAGAAAGAGATGATGTTGGGAAGGGTGCAGAGTTTCCAAAGAATAGGAAGACCCTCAGCCAGGTGGATTGACACGGTGACTGCTGCAGTGGGCTCTTGTG